AGAAAGAAAGAAAGAAAGAAAGAAAGAAAGAAAGAAAGAAAGAAAGAAAGAAAGAAAGAAAGAAAGAAAGAAAGAAAGAAAGAAAGAAAGAAAGAGGAAGGAAGGAAGGAAGGAAGGAAGGAAGGAAGGAAGGAAGGAAGGAGTGGGGTGTCATTTTATGTCAATATTCTGTTATGGTGACAGGAAATTAAACTACGATCTGAGGGCTTGCTCATGTAGCTCAGTTAACTGGCTTCCTGATGCAACAAGCCCTTGTTGGATCTCCACCGCTGAGTAAACCAGTATGTAGTACAACTGTAACCCTAGCCTTTGAAGGACAACAGCAGGAAGGGTAGGAACTGAAGGTCATCCTCTCAGCTACATTGCAAGTTCAAGGGTAACATGGGCTACTTGGAGGGGGGAAATAGCTTTAAGTTTGGAAAGGCAGAGCAAAAAGCAAAAGACCCCAAAAGGAAGTTTCTGATGGAGCTGCCCCCAGTCAGTGTGGATGCTGATTATATTAACACTTCTGTCACCAGTTTGTAAAGACACTTAGTTCAAATTGTAATGCATTTAGGAGCTGCTGAGTATATTTGCATAGCACTTGTTATCTTAGGTAGGAAAGATAATTTTGGTTAACATCTAATATAATCCATTTCATTGAAAATGTTATTTTAAATACCAGCCATTTGCAGAGCCTTGAAAATCCTTGTACAATGTCCAGAATTCCATTTTCTCCACACTAGAAGACAGAGTAGGAAAAGGAAAGCTAGAAAATAAGGCTTCAGTTTTAGTAGCTGCAGACAACCTTGTTTAAGCACTTTAGGGATTCTGCCTCAGAAAACCATCTGGCTTTTCTTTTTGTGTGTTTGTACTCTTCATTGTGAATCAGTATTTCCAGAAAAGCAAATGCCAACAAGCAACTTTCCTGGCTTAAAAAAACATTTACATTTAATGCCAACAAGGAAGGCAAACTTGTTCCTTTAGTTACTTCAGCCTAGCTTTGGCTTTTGGAATGCTTGACTGGCTGAACTCACTTCAGGAGAGTTCCCTTTGAAGTCCTGGACAAATGAAATCAACCTTTCAGATCACATGTGTCCCAAAAAAATGTGGTTTCCCAGGTATGAATGATCTCTCAGTCTTTCTCCTTTAATTTGGCTCTGGGGCCATCCCTGCAGATTCCATAAGAAGAGCTTTTATCATAACCTCAGCCACAGCAGCTCAGGGGCAGGGTTACCTGTGAGGAGAGCAGAGCCTCTTTTGCTGGCAGAGACTGGCTCCGTCTTTGCTGATTGTGCAAACATTCATAATTGTGCCTCTAGGTAAACATACTGCTGTCTTCTTGGAAAAAAGAGAAGTACAAAGAATGTTTATTTGCAAGCCCAGTCTTCCTAAGTATCCAGAGTTGGTTTAGACACACCTGAGCTCCCCTCCCCCCCCCCCATTGGCTTAGAAAGTTGCCACACCTGATTTGCAAGTTTACTGTTGGAGCCAATGGGGTGGAGGTGGGGGAGGGGGTTGTCTCACCAGCCAGCACTGGATTTGATCTGGCTAGAAAGAGCAAAGCCGTTGTTATTGTAAAAAAAAAAAAAAAAAAAAAAAATCACTGCTCTCTGAGTTCATTTCTGCAGAACTGTTCCCTCCCAAGGCACGCGGATTTCTGCTTGAGAGCAGTCCTTCCTCCCTATTCAGCATTCCAGCTGGATAAAACTCGGGACAACCATGGCAACCTACGTTCTTCAAATGGCTGGACTGGTGCTTGGTGGTGTTGGCATGGTGGGCACAGTGGCTGTTACTATCATGCCTCAGTGGAGAGTGTCTGCCTTCATCGAAAGTAACATTGTGGTCTTTGAGAACCGCTGGGAAGGCCTGTGGATGAACTGCATGAGGCATGCCAACATCAGAATGCAGTGCAAGGTCTACGACTCCCTGCTGGCTCTTAGTCCAGACCTCCAGGCATCCAGAGGACTGATGTGCGCTGCCTCGGTCCTGTCCTTCTTGGCTTTCATGACAGCCATCCTCGGAATGAAGTGCACCAGGTGTACGGGAGAGGATGAGAACGTGAAGAGCCGCATCTTGCTGACGGCAGGAATCATCTTTGTCATCACTGGCTTGGTTGTGCTCATCCCTGTCAGCTGGGTTGCCAACTCCATCATTAGAGACTTCTACAACCCGCTGGTGGATGTGGCTCAGAAGCGTGAGCTTGGAGAAGCCCTCTACATAGGCTGGACCACAGCGCTGGTGCTGATCGCTGGGGGAGTGCTGTTCTGTTGCGTGTTTTGTTGCACTGAAAGGAGCAGCAGTTACAAATACTCCATCCCATCCCATCGCACCACTCAAAGGAGTTTCCACGCGGAAAAGAGATCCCCGAGCATATACTCCAAAAGTCAGTATGTGTAGTTGTGTGTATGTGTTAACTGTAGCTATAAAGCCAAGCAAGTCACTGAAACGGCTGCTATTTCAGAGAAATGGAGCCCACAGTGTACCCATTTACCTTTCTGAGTGCCTAGCACTCAGTACAGGAAATATGCAGCGTCTATGATTCCATAAATGGTTTTAGCAGAATGAGGTATTATGCACATTGCTTCAATTGTTCTAGGAAGCATAGTCATTTGTTTTCTGAAATGGTTCACACAGCTCTTCCTTTATCAGTTACTCTAAAACGGCCCATCTAAAGACTGTTGGTTTAAACTGTAATTTCTCTGTGTCATGCTATTATACGAGTAGGTGAGGGTGGCAGTTATATCTCACACAAATAGAGACAGGCTTATGTGGCTCTATTTAAAGTGAAATGCCAATCCATCACTCTGAATAAATAGAAATCAGCTATTGCTTTTCAGGGGGAGCTTGGGATAGAAGGGAAGAAGGCTGATATTAATTTCCTTAAAACAGCTTAAGGATTAGTGGACTCTATTTATAGTGAAGGTTAAAATGAAGGCTTTAATCATTAGTGTAAAGGAAAATAAATGGCTTTCTGATATCCTGCTTTGCAGCCTCTGGGAGTTACAAATCCCATCACCTTTATCCTTTCCCTCCAGAGGCCATTACTTTTTGTTGTCTATTAAATTAGTATCTTTTAAATTTTAAAGCAGACATTTTGGCAAAATATTTTTTGCTCAAACTACTTTAATCACAATTGTGCTAAGAAGAGAGATAAAGCAGTGGTCCTAGAAAAATGAACAATTTTAGAAAAATAAATTTATTTTAACCTTTATGTTTAGAGATGTATTGTTTTTCAAATGAAGTCATATGTGTAAGGGACATTTCAAACACTATTTGTGCATAATTTTGGAGAATTTGTCAGTATAAATGAAGGAGAAAAAAAAGAATGTTTTGATTGTCATTTTTTTTTTACCCAAAAAAGGCACACCTATTCCAAATCAAAAAAATGTGTTTTCTGAACTCATGTAACTAAATCCAAGTAATCATTTCAGTTCTGTTAAAGATGAATTTCTGTACTTGCTTCTTGTTTTTGCTGAGTTTTACTAAAGTGTGGTATTACTATGTATTTCTTCCTAATTTGAGACAATTGTTAATCCAATTTCAAATACATGAGTCTGTATTAATAAAATGATTTCTGTGTAATTTGCTCTGTATCTTATATTGATAAATTGTACCTTTTATAACAATATAGCATTCTTACATTTACAATCCTTTTATTTGTGCAAGTTTTTAAAACTTGGCTTTGACTATTTTAGTTTTGAACATAGATTATGTGTTCATTTTTAGGTGTAGTGTTTGATTTAAAATCAATTTACCTTATGAAGACTACACGAATGCACTAATAGTTGATAACTATAATATATTAATAATATGTTAAGTTGTACTTAAGTCCAATGAAATTTATTTGTTGTAAGTGTTGTGATGTAATCATTGTGCTTTAAAAAGTTGTCTATGTGTATTTCAACTTCTGAGAATTAATATGAATTAAAAGTAATGCTTGATTTTGAAGTATATCATATTTATATGAGGTATATTATTAAACCTTTGTAATATTAATATTTTCAGTTGCTTCAGTTCACTAGTGGGAAAACCTCAAACGAGTTCATTGATTGCCAATGATACTAGTAGAAAACATGAGTTGACATATTGCAAAAGTCTCCAATGAAAGTTCATTATGTTTCATGCAAACCAATCTTTGTATGTGACATTAAATGAAAACGCCTTAGTATTGTCCCCATGAGGGTAATGTTAAGTGCTGATCCACCTTGGGCAATTTTGCCCCTTTGGGTCCAAACATTTGCTGGGAGCAGAAGTAACATAATGGCTTACAGAAGAAATCCAGCGAACTCATTTTCTACACTCCAGTTTCTAATCAACAATTACTTAGTTTCCCTAAGTGTTACTGACTCCATTATTTTCTTGCTCCACCCTTCCCTCAACTAAAACAGAATCTGATATTCTGAGACCACTTCTTTGGTATTTCTGGAAGTGTCTCTTCACTTTCTACCTTTACTGTAATCCCATTTCTTCTCTCAAAAATAGTTCTTATATTCTTGTGTCACTGTATCAATAATATTTTTCATCCAACTAGCTGCCAAATTATTTTTAATTAATTAATTGATTAACTAATTAATTTATTTTACCTCTTACCAGTTTCCTCTCACTCCTCTCCTCCCAGTTCCTCCACCTCAAACCTCCTCACCCCATCCATTCCGTTTAAAGTTGGGCCAGCCTCCCATAGACATCACCCAGCCATGGAATACCAAGTTATAGTGAACCTAGGCACCTCCTTTTCTATTAAGGCTAGACAAGGCAAGTAGGAGAAAAAGGGTCCCAAAGGCAAGCAATGGAATCAGAGACACTGCCTTTTTCCAGTGTTAGAAGTCCTGTATGAAGACCAAGCTACACAACTGTTAAATACGCAGAGGGCCTATGTCAGGCCCATGCAGTCTCCCTGTTCAGTGTCTGTGAGCCCCTGTGGGCTCATATTAGTTGATTCTATGAGTTTTCTTGTGGTGTCCTTGACCCCCGTGACACCTACAATCTTTCCTCCCATTCTTTCACAGGATTCTCCAAGCTTTACAATGTTTTGCTTGGGGCTTTCCAACAGTGGGTGAGTGAAGCCTCTCTGGTGACAACTGGCTACACAGCAATCTATGAGTATAGCAGGATATCATTAGAAATCATTTCAGTGACTTTTTTTCATTCATGTTTGGTTCTACAGTGGGTCTCTGGGATATCCAGTGTATATTTCCTGGCTCTCTGGGCAGTGTCAGGTGTTAGCTCCCTATCATGGTATGGGTCTTGAGCTCAACCAGTCATTGGTTGGGCATTCCCACAATGGCTGTACCACCTTTACTCCAGAATATCTTGTAGGCAGGACAAATTGTAGGTTGAAGGTTTTGTGGTTGGAGCCAAAGTTTTATTATAGTTGTTTCTAAAATATGTCAAGAACAACAAGAAGGCTCAGCAGGTAAAGGCTCTTGCTATCCAAGTCTGGAGCCCTGAGTTCTACCCACAGAATCCTTGACATATGTGCTGTGATATCTGAATCCTCTATACAGAGAAACATATGTGTGTGTGTGTGTGTGTGTGTGTGCGTGCATGTGTGTATGTAATCAACTTTCTTAAAAATATACAACTTAAGAATTAAATACAAAATTATTTCTACCATCTTTTGTCCTTATATTTGAAGGTATGCCAAATTTCCTAAAATGTAAAGTCCAAGTACCTTGCATACAAGTATCAGAAACCAACAAACAAAACTATTTTATAATCTGGGAAATGAATTCCATCAGATAATGAAACAGTGTGTGACCAGTAGGACAACAAGATGATTGATGTACAAATATTAGAAAACTCACACGACAAAGCTCTCCTTTAATATTCTGAAAGAGATATACTAAACTTGGAAAATAATTTAGTTGGTGGCAAAGCATGTGCCAAAGTAAGTTTTTAAATATTATTTTAAAGGAAAACATTATCTCAAAACAGAAAGAAAACAAAGGGTAAGTAAAGATAGTTTTATTTATTTGTTTATTTCTTTTTTAATCTTTATTAAATTATTATTTATTACAATTTATTCATTTTGTATCCCAGCTGTAGCCTACCCCTCCTCTCCTCCAAGTCCTACCCATTCTCCCTCTTCTCGACCTATGCCCCTGCCTTAGTCCACTGATAAAAGAGGACCTCCTCCCCCTCTATCTGACCCTAGACTGTCAGGTCTCTTCAAGGCTGGCTGCATCCTCCTCCATGGGCTGGCAAGACTGTACCCCACAGGGAGAGGTGATAAGACAGCCAGCCACTGAGTTCATGTTGGGGACAGCCCCTGTTCCCCTTTTTAGGGAACCCACTTAGAAACTGAGCAACCTAAAGGCTTCATCTGAGCAGGAAGTCTGGGTCCTCTCCATGTATGGCCCTCAACTGGAGTATCAATCTCTACAGCCCCCACCCCCACCCCCGGGCCCAGATATTTTGGTTCTGTTGTTTTCCTTGTGGAGCTCCTGTCCCCTCCTGGTTTTTCTAACTCCCCCTTCTTCCATAAGGTTCCCTGCACTCTACCCAAAGTTTGGCTATGGGTCTCAGCACCTGCTTTAATACCCTGTTGGGTAGAGTCTTTCAGAGGCCCTCTATGGAAGGCTCCTGTCATGTTCACTGTCTTCTACTTCCAATGTCTATCCTGTTTGCCCTTCTGAATGAGGTTTCAGCCTATTCCCTAGGGTCCTCCTTGTTGTTTAGCTTCTTTAAGATTATAGATTTTAGTATGTTTATCCTATATTATATGGCTAATAGCCATTTATAATGAGCACATACCATGTGTGTCTTTCTGCTTCTGGGTTACCTCACTCAGGATGATCTTTTCAAGTTCTATCCATTTGCCTGCAAAGGTCATGATTTCCATGTTTTTAATTGCTGAGCAGTATTCCATTCTGTAAATGTAGCACAATTCCTGTATCTATTCCTCTGTTGAGGGACATCTAGGTGTTTTCCAGATTCTGCCTATTACAAATAGAGCTGCTACAAACATGGTTGAGCAAAAGTCCTTGTTTTGTACTTGAACATCTTTTGGGTATATGCCTAGGAGTGGTATAACTGGGTCTTGAGGTAGCACTATTCCTAATTGTCTGAGAAAGCGCCAGATTGATTTCCAAAGTAGTTGTACAAGATTACATTCCCACCAGCAATGGAGGAGGGTTCCCTTTTCTCCACATTCTCTCCTGCATCTGTCATCCCTTGAGTTTTTGATCTTAGCCATTCTGATGGGTGTGAGGTAGAATCTTATGGTCATTTTGATTTGCATTTCCCTTATGATTTCTAATGACATACTACTGTACTAATAGATTGGTGTCTAGCTCAATTGTCATCAGAGAGGCTTTACTCACTGATGGAAAAAGATGCAAAGACCCCCAACCAAACACTGTAAAGCTTGGAGAATCCTGTGAAAGATCAGGAGAAAA